TGATATACTGTTTTATCTTATTCGATCACTTTTTTTTTGAATTGTACCGTCGAAGAATTACTGAGATTTTCATCAAAAAATTGGAGTGATCGAATAAGATAAAACAGTATATCATTCGACTCGATTTTCGACGCTGATTACGAATACGATATTTTCATTGCGTGAACGTTGAGTTCCGATGGAGAAAATCGCGAATAAGAGTCAGAATTTCGATTTCTCCCAGTAAAGTCGACTTTTCTCACCAAGGAAAAGGAATTTCAAAATAAGGATATGTAACTTTTTTCCTAACCTTAGAATAAAGTGAAATAAAAATATCAGCTAAATATCCAAGCTAGCGACACTTGAAGCTTTTGCAACACGCTCTAGTCGACTGCTTCAAACGGTCGTCCAGGCTCAAAAGTCTAGGATTCTAGCATATCTTAACAGTCTCACATCATTGTCAAATTCATATTGTTAGATGCAGTTTTACACGCTGTATTCGAAGAAAAGTCTTTCGAGCTTGTGAAATAATAGAAATTGTTCAAAAACCAAATTTCTGGGAAAATGACGGGTATTTTGCTTATTATGGAAAAAGTCAAGTTTTTTCGATATTTTAAGCCTAAAAAGGGAGTTGAAAATTTTTTCATATATACAGTTTTATAGAGCTCAACGAGCTCTATCTAACCATATATGAACGAAGAGAAAAAAAATTTTGCTCGATTTTTGAATTTGGTACACCTTACTTGTAAATCATCAAGTAATTGAAAAGCAAATCCCATATATTCTAAATACGCCATTTTAACTCTGGTCAATCGTCCTTCTATTAAAAATCCCGCTGCAATTAACGACGCCCCACCTTTTTCAGCACTAATTTGCTCAATAAGTGTCATTGTTGGTTGATATCCATCTTCAAACGTTGCATGTTGTAATGTTGATTTCATTTGTGATTCATGAATTGTAGTTAAAGCCATAAAAACACCTTGATATTTTTCATTACGTTTCCAATCATTTTCAATAAATTTGGTCATGTCAAAGATTTTTCCTACTCTATCGGCATGTGCTTCTAATGATGGTGATAAATTTAAATGATTAACATCTGATTGTTTTCCATGAAGATATGAAAAATAATCATCGAACAATTTTTACTCAAACTTTTATCGATGGGAAAACGTTGGATGAACCAACAAGTCGTCTTATTCAATATTGTTATTCGTCACCTGCTTTTCAAACATTTCCTGATGATCAACGCACAACATCAAATCCAGAAAATGGGATTACATTGGCTCATTATGTACGAATTTCGATGATGATGTTTGCAATAATATTAATTTTAGAGGCAGCTTCTCAATTAAAAAAATATTATTCAAAACAATTTTATCAAGAATTATCTACACTAAGTCCAATTCCATTTGATCAACTTAAGACTATTTCTGTAGAACAAAAAATATGGGCTATCGTGCGAAATCAATGGTTTTAACACACAAATATTAAAGAAAAAAAAAACAAAGATGATACTCTTTCCGACTATATATGTTACTATCTCATTTCAAAGATATTCGGCAAATAGACTCGATTATTTTATTGTATTACACTAATTTTCTCTCTATAAGTAGTGCATCATTTCTTCTAGAAGTTTCTACTTTTCATTTACTAAATATTTTTTTATTGGAGAATGATAGGACGAAATGAAGATGTAATCCAACAAAACAACGGATTTATTAATAAAAAGTATTGTTATTAAGAGTATCGTAACATTCTTTCTCTGTAGAATAAATAGATATACAAATTAACTTCTGTTTCCTAACTGAACGACAGTTCTCAGAACATTTTTTAAAGTAGGAAAAACTTCAATATTTGAACAATGAAATGCTTCAACTATTAATTCAAGTTCCAACTATTCAACTACTTAATTATCCAGTTCAAGTATTGCACTGTTGCTTTATCAGCACCTACACACTGGCTCTCACTTTGTGAAACTTGAATGACTGAACTGAAATTTGAATAGTTGAAATTCAACTGTTCAACTTTCAAATATGACACATATGGAATAATACTATGAAAATGTTTAAACTATTTTTAATAAAATTGAACACGATTTTCAAATAAATGATGATCAACTTATAGATTTATCAGATTAACAAACTCTATCTTATGTTGCCTAAACATTTTTTCTTTTTCTTTCAAAATAAAACGTAGTTTGATTAGATATAAAAGATCTTTTAGTGAAGATTTTTCAGCATATATATAAAATGACATACAGAAATATCTTGCGTGAAGAAATATGTAATTAAAGATAATTTTCATTATTTCAATCAATTTAAAAAAAACAATTGCTAAATTCGTCAAGTAAATATTATTTAAAATATTCTTTTTAATGAATAATTATATTTAATTATTGATATTACATATTACTATATCTTTAGTTGTCAGAAATAAAAATCAAATCATCAATCGAATATTTTTCATTATGATCAAATTTCTTTTTCAAATATCATCTTTAAATTGCGTAAGATAATTATTATTAACATATAGATGATCAGATCAATTATATTTACATTACCTTCGGATAAAATATATACTCTTTGACTAAGAGTGTATCGGTTATTTTTTCGTATTTTTCAAAAATTCATAATAAATGGTTTGTATTTTCGTAAAAAGGAGTTGCAGCATTTTTTTAAAATGACAATTTTGTAGAGAAAACATTTCTCTACAAGACAGTATACAAAAGGTAGTTTAGAAGTTTTTTGTTTTCTTTTAGGAAGCATTTTCCTCAAACCTACGCTCGGTTATCACCGACGGTTTTAACCGATAT